GTGGTGGTGGGAGCCTCTCCCGCCTCCTCAGCAGCACTAAGGATGTCTGACTGCAGCTTAGGCCTGCTCCCCGCTGGCAAGTGGACATCCCCCGAGGGCTCCCGGGCTGCCAGGGAGCGGGCCTAAGCCAGCAGGTGGTCATTCCCCGAGGGGTCCCAGATTACGAGAGGGCACAGGCCAGGCTGAGGAACCCCCCCCCCCCAGTGCACAAATTTTTGTGCACCGGGCCGCTAGTGTTGAAATAATTTTTGACAAAGATTCAAAAGCAATTCAATGGAGGGAAGATAGCCATTCAAACACATGTTGCTGGAGCAATATTGAACTTCCATAGATAAGAAGGAGGAGGAAGAGGAGGAGGAGGAGGAAGAGAAGGGAAAAGAACCTCAATCTAGGTCTCATACCTTATATAAAAAGATAATTCAAAATGGATCATGAATTTAAATGTAAAAAGTAAAATTATAAAACATTAAAAAAACAGGGCAAAATCTCTGGGATCTAGAGCTAAGAGTTCTTAGACATGCAAAGCACAATTAATACAAGGGAAAAAAAGAAAATAAATTAAACCTTGTCAAAATTAAAAACTTTTGTATTATGAAAAGCATTGTTAATAGATGAAAGACAAACCACAAACTTGGAGAAAATATCTGCAAACCACACATTCAACTAAGGACTGGTATCTAGAATATATAAGGAACTCTCAAAACGCAAAAGGAGAAAAGCAAACAATCCAGTTAGAGCATGGACAAAAGACATGAACAGATATATCACTGAAGAGGATATACTAAAGAAAATAAGCACATGAAAAGATGGTCAGCATTATAAGTCACTAGAGAAATGCACATTAAACCACAACAAGATACCATTATGTACCCATTAGGATATCTACACTTCAAAACAAACAAACAAACACACACAAAAACTGGCAAAACCAAGTGTTGGTGAGGATGGAGAGAAACTGGAACTCTTACACATTCCTGGGGGAAATACAAAATGACACAGCTACTTTGGAAAATATTTTGGTAGTTTCTTCTAAAAGTAAACATACACTTGCCATGCAACTTTGCAATCCCACTTTAGGTATGAAATGAAAACCTGTGTTCATACAAAATCCTGTATACAAATGTTTTAAAATACCTCTATTCAGAATGGCCAAAGCTGGCAACAATTCAAATGTTCTTCTGTGGGCGAATGGTTGAGGTCCGGGATAACCTCAAAGAGGCAGCCCTGGGCAAGTTCTTGATGTGATGAAGCTGTTTGGTATCGTGGTGGTGTTTACATGACTATGCATTTGTCAAAACTCATAGAACTCTGCACCAAAAAGAGTGAATTTTATAATAGGTAAATTTTTTTAAAAAAATTAAATGATACAAATATGGAAGCTAGGGAGAGGAAGGGGATGCAATATCAAACAAGGCTGCTTAAGAATGAAAGTCCAATCCCAGATCAATACTGAGCACAAAAGGTAATAGGGCCATCTATAATAATATAAGTGTAATATGCTAATTAGACTGCACCAAAAAGAGTGAATTTTATAATAGGTAAATTTTTTTAAAAAAATTAAATGATACAAATATGGAAGCTAGGGAGAGGAAGGGGATGCAATATCAAACAAGGCTGCTTAAGAATGAAAGTCCAATCCCAGATCAATACTGAGCACAAAAGGTAATAGGGCCATCTATAATAATATAAGTGTAATATGCTAATTAGACCGTGCCGGAAGCCGGTCCATCCTTGCTGCTTGACACAGTCGCTGCAGGGAAGAAACATCTGCACAGCATATGTTTCAAGGGACCTGGCATATATAGCATATTGTTCTTAATATGTTTGCTCTCCTTAGTGCCATGTGTTTTAACCAAGGTCACCTCTCCCAGAAAGGTTGTTTCCCCAGGTGGGGATTTTTCCCCGAGGTTAGGGAGGGGATACAACCCCTTAACTAAGTGCCAGGCGGGTAGTTAAGCTACATAATCTTTACTCCCTGGAATGGAGATAAGAAACGCCCTAACCTTTGTAATAGAAATTGACAGGATTAAAATCGGCTGGTATAAATATAGATGTAACAAGACAATAAACATCAGATCCTGATCAGTTCCTAACCAGAACTCCGACCAGAACTTTGGCTGGAGATCCTGGCTAGAGGTCCTGACTAGGCTGCTGATCAACTGAAGGCTGTCTCCGTGTCATTCCTTCTTCGCCGACTCCGTCCACACCTTTGGGGACCCCTGGACCTGCTGGGGTTGGACCCCAGCAAGACCGGACAGCCAAACGACCTTCCGGATGAAGCCGAGGCTGCGAGGGCTGAGCCCCTTGCATGAATTTTGTGCATTGGGCCTCTAGTTAAATCATAAAAGCATCATAAAGTCGTCTCATTGGCTACACAATAGGAATGACTTTTCAGTGGGTTCAGATTTTAAAGGAGCACCTATAAACAGATAGAGGGCCACCTGTCCAAGGATGCATACACAGTATGACATAAATCTGTTAGTCTCAAGTCGGGAAGGTTAAAGCCCCATATGAGCTCATTCAATTCCCAAATCCTAAGGGACAAAAACAAAGGGAGTTTGAATAAAAGTGCATCAGGAGTTAAAGGAAGAAAGGCTGGAGCCTCCGCTTGAAGGCAGCTAAAGAATGAAGACAGTAAGAAAGCTATCCTTCAAGCAACAACACACTTGTGGCTTTCAGCATTAGTTTTGTGCCTGTGGCTGTGACACAAGGCTGCCATCTGGAGACACCATCTCCAAACTACATAAAGTTGGAAGCACTACAGTTGCAGAGCTGTTAATTGTGTGATCACAACACATATCATAAAGACTTTATATGGGAGGCTGGGGCCTCAACAATCACTCCTCTCCTATTTCTCTCCAACATTCTATCAATAAAAATACACATTAGATTGGAAGAGATAGAATAAGCAAACTTAGTAAAGGGAAATATAGAGCTAAATAAGTTCAAATTTGTAGGCTCAGAGGAATCCTGGTATAAAGAAAACATGTTGGGAAGCTGGAAAAGAACAAAAACATTATCCCATTTTCTTTTTCCACCCAGAATTATTTGAGGTATAATTGACAAACAAACTGTATATGTCTAAGGTGTACAATGTAATTTTTCAATTACAGTTGACATTCAATATTATTTTATATTAGTTTAGATATGCAGCATAGTGGTTAGACATTTATATAATTTATGAAGTGGTCCCCTTCATAAAAGTCTAGTACTCACCTGGCACCATACATGAACTATAGTCACCATGCTGCACATTAGATTCCCAAAAGGAAGAAGAATGCAGCTTCTGGAAACTATAGCCTGGTAAGAGCAACAGCACTGAGAGCATAGTATTTAAATACAGGCTTATGAGCAGTTAAAAAGGGAAGTGCTGATCTCCAGGTGTCCTCAAGAACAAGTCATTCAAGACTGACCTCATTTCCTTTTTGGTTAGAGTCACCAGACTGGTAGAGCAGGGGAAATTAGAGGATACACTATGTGGAAGTCAGTGAGGCATATGAGAGTGCCCTTCATGCCATTGATGTGGATGACATACAGAAATACAGGAGAGATGACAGTACAGTTATGGAAGTTCACAACTGGCTGAACAACTGTACCCAAAGAATGCTGATGGGAAACTGAAACCATGCTAATTATGGCATGGTGAAAATGTCTTGCAGGAAATGTGTTAGTCATTACTGAGTAGCTACTGTGCGGTAGGCACCATGCTTTATATTTTCACTTCACATCCATTATCTCAAATAGTTCTCCCAAAAGCCTTATCTTGCAGGTGAGGAACTAACTTGCCCACGGTCCCTCAGCAAGTAAGGAGAAGAGATTTTTAACCCAAGCTTTGACTGGCTCTAAAACCATTTTTTTTCTAACTCTATTATCTGCTCCTGTAAGTATGCTAGGTTTTTATTTTGAAGTATGCATTTACATTTCTGAATAGGTAATATAGCCACATGGTCCAAAATTCAAAAAGTATAAAATGTTACAGGGTAAAGCCTCTCTCCCACCCCTGTTCCAACACACACTGCCACTTGGTCCCCCCATAAAGAACCACTGTTAATAGTGTATGCATATCAAGCAACTAAAGCAACTATTACTACATATTCTTATTTTTTCCTCCTTTTTAACATTTAGAATAGTGTAGTATGCTCACTGTTTTCACCAATGCTTTTCTAAAATAAACAAAATGTTTTAGAGACCTTCCCATATCATTACAAGCATGCACCTTACTTAAATGAAACAACATTTATAAAATACACTAGTGGCCCGGTGCACAAAATTTGTGCACATTAAAAGGGGATTAATTAGAGGAAATATTTTAATATTGCTATTTGCCCTTTCTCTATAATAGAAGTGTCAGAGATCAAAGAATATTAGCAAAATTTCTATGGATATCTTCCTCCTGTCAGAGTCTGGAGCACACCACGGGGCCGAGAATCAAGTCCCCGCCCACCCATGTGTGTGTCAAAATTGCATGAGACCCAGACCCGGCCGGCCCCCTCCCCCATTGGGCTAGATCCGTGGTCGCCAAACTGTGGCTCGCAAGCCACATGTGGCTCTTTGGCCCCTTGAGTGTGGCTCTTCCACAACATACCACAAAATACCACATGCAGGCACGCACGTACAGTGCGATTGAAACTTCATGGCCCATGCGCAGAAGTCGGTATTTTGTGGAAGAGCCACACTCAAGGGGCCAAAGAGCCGCATGTGGCTCATGAGCCGCA